AAAACACGAAAAAAACAACGAAACCGTGTTTTCTTGAACACATATGGAGGCGTTTTTCCCCGAAAGCGTGAAAAGAAGGAGCCGGTTTTTTTGGGGGCTTGCTACTTAATTAAACGAACCCGTGTTTTTGACAGAAGCATCGGACAAGCGCACCGCGGGCGCTGTAACATCACTGAGAACGCTAGAAAGACCTGCCAGACTCACTTCCAGGTCTGTTGTGGAGATGGACAAGCGGCAGAAGCGGCGTTCAGTCCGTTCTTGGCCCAAAACTAGGCATTGCGTGGTGCTCTCGTCTTCAACTATATTAACTGCTGCTGTTGGTGCTGGTTTTTTGTTTCAATCACACATAGCAAACACGGAAACAGTAGAACGAGTACAGCAGCAGCACCAAGACCTCCTACGCGCTGATTCCTTCTGGGTCGGCTGTCTATATGATACCATCTCCCGGCGCCGTGCTGCTTCGTGGGTATTGGGTGCTTGGATGCTGCTCAATAAAGTGTGTGAGAGACGTGTGCCACCTCACCAAAATGCCGTTGGAAAAAATGCGGCGAGATTATCTGTTTTTGGTCGGACGCATCAACATCAATCCAAGGCACCACGCAGCAGTAGAGCAACAGGGCCTCAGACACGCAAATTCTTTCGGATTGGCCATCTATATGATGCTGGCCGTCAGCGCGGCTGCCGCCCTATGACTGTTGAGCTCGTCTACCTTTGGGCAGGTGGTGGTCAAAGATGGGAGTCGCAACCGTGAAAAATGAGCTGGCAAACTGAAGAAATCGCAAGCAACACCCAGGTGGCGACACTCTGCCCTGCGTCTGTTGTTGCTTAAAACTGAAAACAGCAGGCCAGGTGGACGGGATCTTTCTAAGCGTGTTGTCCTCTGTGTCGGGTGCTGCTTATTGCGCTTTCACCGCTGCTCTATGGTGAGAGCAATACCATGTCAACCTGTTGTGTGTCGAGCAAAACGTGTATTCAGGGAAGGAAACGAACTCTTCGCGATGACATCACGATTAGAACAAGGGAAAAATAATCGGATCTTCTTTTCACCGTTCCGTGAAAAAAGCGTTTCTTTTTCGTTGCGTTAACAATAACCCTAACATTAAAAGTTTGAGAAGTTCTGCCGCTCGGAAATTATTCGTTCAAACCAGTTGGAACTGCGGGGCGCGTGCGTACATTGCACGAAGGACCACACTTAGTCTTACTTACTTGAACATTACCATTTCACATGTTATGCCGGTCGGAAATTATTCGTTCGAAAGTACTTAGAACTCTGGGGCGTGTGTGCATTGTACACATTGTACGTTGTACGTACATTGCGCCTTACCGTGCAGCAGGTTCTACGAACCGCAAATCAGTGCACCGTCCACGAACCTGTTATATTTTGGGGTCGGAAACGAGACTGTGAACGGGACTGTGTAGAATTAAATTAATCTATGCAAACTCAGGTGAATCAGAAATTTCCGAGTTTGGGCAGACGATGTTCCGAGTTTGGGCAGACGATATTCCGAGTTTGGGCAGACGATATGGAAATAAATTAAATAAATTAAATATAAATAAATTAAAACTACGCCGTCATGTCTTGTTGAAGTTTGGGGGTACTGACATTATTGGGAGCCCACGTGGGACGTCCCATGGGACAGCCCTGGGACGTCCCACGTGTCTCATGGAGTCCCATGGGACAGCTAGGGCCGTCCCATGGCGTCCCATGAGACACCTAGGGACGTCCCATGGTGTCC